GGGATGTCGGATAATCGGGATGTTTGGCGCAATGAAACCGCTCGCTTCACGAATCATTCTGATTGCGAGGGTTCAAAGTCCAGTCATTTTTCACGAGAAGACGTAGCAAACAGTTTCGGTTTCGCGACGTTCCTCGCTCGATGTTCAGTGACAATAACAAGTGCGCGAAGCGCGGTCATTCCAATAAAGCAGGATTCAGTTAGTTGTTTATAGCCGCATAGGATACAGCTCGTAAAGACCGCGAAACAGTAAAAACATCCGAGAGCCACGACGATAAATGGGATAGGAAGGGAAAATGCCGTAATCGAACTTCGATAGCTGTACGGGCACACTAAGAATTTGAAAATAGCGATGACTGATTATTACCATGCACAGTAGGATCGTAATGTGACAGGATATTATTTATCTTCTATGGTGTAATAAGAAATCTTGTTGCGAAATCGACTTACAAATATTTGATGATATTAGCCTTTTCTTATTTCATCAATACCACGACGTCTATGGATTCTATCGAGAAATAAGTTCTAATGAATCAGTTGAAGGATATTAAGATTTTCAAAACGCTAAAGACAGAAATCTCATTAATAAAATAATGACATTGCAACATTAGCTTAAAATAATTTTCGATCTTAATAATTTTATAATATTAATTTCATTACAAGGAAATTCATGCATACGTCGTTAAATTTACCCAGGAATTTCTTAGAAAGTCGCCGTAATCCTCGATGTAACAAGTTACACGCGAATGCTTCGATCATATTGGAAATTTCCGGTTCGCATGATTCTTCCTCAGATTGAACTGGACGAGCGCGCGGCGCGGCGCAGCGAGCTAAGAAGTAAAAACGTCAAAGTTCTGCGGCGGCGTGGAATGTAACACGCGGAAGAGCGGCCGCGAGCGTATGCGTCGACGACGAACAGGACGAAGAGGGCGGACGCGCGATACACGATTCCCAGTGCGGATAGTACCGAGGAGGCTCGAAGTAAGACTTCTCGCGCCGGCCGATGAAGAGCCGTAACCGAGAGAGGAAGAACCCGTTCGAATGAGGGTTTATATACCGCGTATAGCTCAGGGCAAGGCTGTGGCAGGCCTTGCGATACCGTCTTACGTGAACAAGTTGAAAGACTTTCAGGAGTCCGCGATGCAGAACAAACGATTCCTTTTCTCGTGCCTCGGTGTACGACCGATTAAAGTACCGCGCGCAAGTGCTAATAATTGCTCGTGACGGCTGTTTCTAGTTTTCGAGGTGAGGAAAGGTTTATTAGAAAAGTGCTCGTTTTTCGTCGCGTTAACGTCAAGATTGATTCGCGCTCCTGATCTAAGGTTAGAAAATAAATGGATATCATTTTATCGCCCTTAACTGTATTTTGCACTCTATGATACATGACATCGTAAAGTTGCAGAAAATGAAAAAAAAGAAGTTAATTTCAAAATACTTAATTAAAAAATTGCAAAAGAATAGTTGAAGTTTTTAGAGTCTAAAGAAATTATAAGAAAAGTATATACATGTTATTCAAGTGCATGGCACTGATATGTTTTATTTTATTTATTGCCATATTCGTTATTCGCCCGGATTCGTATACGCGCGTGTAAGAAAATAAGGACCAGAATCAAATCACACGATCGAATACTACTGATCGTGCGCGGTTGTCATCGAAAAGGCGAGCTTCCTTCGGGGAAAGAACGTTGGATGCCGCAAGGCAGGCGAGGGCTAAGTTACATGTTACACCGGTGGGGCCCCTGGGGCCCCATTACGCGCGCTACCTCGTCGTTGGCGATATTACCGCAAATTGCCACCCTCAAAAGAGGAACGGCCCCGGCTCCGGCGGTTGCTGGAGCCACAGAGTCGGGCCGATTGCTCGGTGCATCGCCTACGTCTCGCAACGTCGGTTTTACAACTGGAGCCCCCTCGAGCCTCCTTCGGCCAGCCCCTTCGCAAGGAGCCCGCGCGTCTTCTCTCCTCCCGCGTCTTCCACTCCCACCATCCGCCTGTCCGCGGCGTGTAATACTGTAATCGGGCAATTTCGGGGCTTCTCCTTCGAATAAATCCATGGTTAATGCCTCCATTGGCTCCCCTCGCCTCTTTTCGTCTCCTCTTATCTCCTCCGCAGGCCTCCTACCTCTTCCCCTTCATATCTTTGCTGTTCAACACCACCCCAGCACCACCACCTACTTCCCTCCCGTTCTCTCACCCTCCGTATCTTTCTCTTGTGCACTCGGTACGCTAAAAATCGAATATATACATATATATATTCGAATATATATATATATATATAAAGGATAGAGAAAAGGAGAGAAAGAAAGAAGAGGACTTGGCTTCTATCCGAGCACTCGGAGGCTCGCGTGCGGCTAAGTGGGCCCCAAGAAAAGGGGCCCCGAAAGAAGAAGAAGAAGAAGAAGGAGGAGGAGGAAGAAGAGGAGACCGGAGGTAAGAGGGGCATACAACACCATCCACTACCTTTTACCTCAACCATCCTTTCGCCTCACCCACCTGTCTGCCGGCAATCTTCTAGTAGCCTTGGGCTACCACTCCGCGGCTACTACAGGGGCTACTCTTCGGCTACCAACGTCCGGTCCTGGTTTCATTCGCGGTACAGTAACCCTTCTGCATGTCCGTCAAGGATACTTTAAGACGAGCCACGCAGTTCCCGCGTGAGCCTCTTTTTAAAAAGATTTTTGGCTACCGCGATTAGATCAGCTGGATTGTAAGGATTGTAAGGATTCTATTGTGTGTTTCAATTTCTCGGAACGTTTCTTAGCTCAAAATACTCCGCTACCATTAGATTATTTTTTTTTCTGTCACAAAGTTCAGTCTATAACATTTTGTAAATTTAACATCGGTAACTGCATATATCTGCAGTCTTTTCTAAAGCGATTTGAATCCATATATAAGAAATACAAGAATATTCATGTGCAATATTATTTTGTATAAACTTAAAATAAATTTTATAAATTAAGATAATAAAAATAAAATGAAAAATTTTCTACAATAAAAGAGCGTTATAGCATATAATTTACTTGCTGTAAAGATAGTTTGCACGAAATATAACAAGATAATAATAAAACCGCTTGTATAAACATTATTCTCTAAAGATCAAACAAAAAGAAGTAGTTTATAAAATTGTCCATTCCATAAGAGCGATTTAAATGTCTCAGATCAATTTATAAAAGTACCAATTCTTTGAAATATATCACTCCCTTCTCCGCCGAGAGACGAAATTTCTGGTGCAACTTTTTGTGATCTCGCATCAGCAAGAATTTCCTTCACGAATTTCTTTACGGCTGCCGGCAAAAGATCATCGGGCGGGCCGCGCAAGTGCCCACGCTTTTTCTTACCTTCTACCTCCTCACCGGCCTACCCTAATTTTCGCGTATGAGCTGCCGGATTCGCCTCGGCATCCGAGATGGTTGCAGGTGATCCACCTGCCTACGCAGAAGCTGGTTCGCCTTTTACGCCGCTTCGAAAAATATCACATTAAAGAAGTGATCCCCAAGAGACAGAGTAACTGTGGCTTTTCTAACATTGTTTTCGAGACTATTTTCTTCAGCAATTTGTAAAAATATTTTTGTATCTGTATAATAAAAGCTCTGTGAATTTATCATCCAAAAGAAAGCGAAATAATTGAATCATAAAATTTTATCCATTTCAAATTGTACAACGTTACATTATAAAGTTTTAAATATTATTTAATTATTGTTTATTTTCAATTATTTCTTATCTTACAATTTATATATCTAGCTATATTAATATATTCATTAGTCATTACATGATAAAAGTATACGCGCGTGTGTGTGTTTTATAAATATAGAATTTTATTTGTCATAAAAAATGTAATAAAAATATTTTCATATTAAAATATTTTCACATAATGTGATGCATGTTTCACAATATGATAAATATGCTCCAAGATTTTTCAATTTAATCATTAATATTAAAAATGTGGAATATCTTAACAAAGATATTTGACCTGTGATGTGTAAATACGATTGCATTAGCAACTACCTATGGCAATTTTCGTCATCGCGTCCAGCGCGCTCGGTACCTTACACAGCGGTCGATTTGAATCCAATTAACACTCTGGAACGAGCATAACCTCGCCAGAGCGAGTCTAATTAAAGAAGACCAATTACATTCCGCGAGATCTCGCAATTAGTCGGTAACGAGAGAAAGAGAGAGGACAAACGGAGAGACGGATCTTGGATGCGACGTTCGGAAGAGCGACCCGGCATCTTCTTTCTCAGCGGGACGCACGACGAGTCACAGCTTCATCTTGGCGCAATCTAATTGGCCGGAATGGTCGCTTACTAATTAAGCATTCGGCTAATTATTAATTACATCGACGCGACCGCTCGAATTAATTCGCCTGGCGGCGGGGTGCCGGTTGCACCGCGGGGCATATTAACCGAGCATAAGTATCGCATTTAATGCGCGCGTGCAGGTCGCGCGACAGCGTGGCATACACCGAGAGCATGAGCTATACAAGGACGTAGGATCCTGAGAATCCCGTGTTGGTAGGCTTTACGTGTGCGAGTCCAAGAAGTATCGCCTGTTCATTCGTGCACGGCTTTCCGATTTATCTACTCTTTCCGGCTTGGTAGAGCCGAATGAAATAGCTATTTCAAATAGCGGATAATAAACGATTTTGAGAAACACCACCACAGTCGACACGAGTTGCATTAAGACGGCATGTGCAATATATGTCGAGGTAGAAATGGGATTCCATTCTTTTTTTCTCCTTTTTTGTTCAAGTCAGGCCGTTATTTCGGAATAGCAATAATCATTAAAATCTTTTTAATCGACGTACATTAAATTTAATTATTCCATATATTGCATATTTCGAAGCGATTTCATTTCTCATTATTTTTCACAATATTACCATTTACTTTGGGTATATCTCTCTCGACTCTCTGTCTATCATTGAGATTTGCTTCGATATGTCGTACGCTACATGCATAGATTTACATTTTGAACAGACGCCCAGAAAAACGCGGACATAAATCCAAAATTAGTTTGATTGAAACAAAAAATGATATATAAGGGTTTTCAAGGTCGCTAATTATGAATTTGATATTATTTTTTTCAAAATTCAAAATGGCGGATCCAAAATGACTTTCAATTTATTTACAAACATTACAATACATACGAATTTAATCGCTACAGTCGTCCGTCGTATTTGAACTGACATCCGAGGTGGAAGACTCCTCGGTTCCGTGCACGTAAGGACTTAATAACTGTATGGCCTCGAATGACAGTGCTTCACTTTTTTTCGGAGGTGTTATGCGCAAACTCGAGATTACCGGATCGGAAGACACAAGCAACCACTGAAACACGTCTCTCATGGTACTTTCCCTAGAATGCTTTCGCGAATAATTTTCTCTGTATTTCTTGATATCTTTATTTCGCGATTCTTGGGCTTCCTCGGATAGTTGCCCGATCGGCAATGGTGCCCATTCAATAATGAGGGGACCATGAATCAACACTTCATGAATGGATGTTGGCATGCAAGACCACGGAAAACTTTGCACTAACATATTCGCAGTTTCTAAGCAATAACTTTTGAAAAGATCTACATTCACAGCGTATCCGCATGACAGAACTTGCATTATAATGTGAGCACGATTTAGCAATTCAGCGTCCAAACCCAAAATTTCGGCCGACTCAGACGAATAAGCAAAAAATCGCCTAGCAGTATTGCCATCATTACTGGTACCGAATCCTCCCACTTTTGGAGCATCAACAATGAGTCCAAATCGCAATTTGAAACCCTTTTGTATAGCCTCTTTTCGCATTTTTACATTTTCTTTGTCTTCTTTCGATCGTGCTTGCCATTTCTTCGTACCCAGTTTATAACCTAAATGTAAGAAATACTCCATAAAGTGGATCCAAGCATGTAACGTAGCTAAACCGTACCGCAAATTTTTTTCGTCTACTGGTAATAAACTAACTTCATCAAGATTGTTAAATTTTTTAGACGTGGCTCCACATAAATAACAGCGCATGTTGGATTTTGTAATCGTTATTGTATTTCTAACTTTACCGTCAATCATTGTAAAGAGAAGCTTGAAAGTAACAGTAATAACTTTTCCGTCGATAATTGTCACAAATGAGGCAAGTTTAGCTATTTGATCTTCGACATAACTATTTTCCTCCAAAGTTGAAGTAACGTTTTCGTGAATATATTGTAATTTAATTGGAGAGCAAAATCTTGGAGAAGACGGTTTTGGATTTTGCCAAATCAACAGATTTTTATCGTTACTACCGGTTATTCTTAATGGTACAAGTGATGTTAATAAAATACTCGCGTCTGACGCATCCTCGTCTTCAAACTTTTGTTTGTATTGCTTTTGACCAGAAGAACCGTCAAATCCATATTTTGCAATTAATTCCAAACTACGGACTTTTTCTTCAGGTAATGTTTGAATTACGTCATTCTGTACTGAAAGAATTCTGCTTGCTATGTGGTGCAATAACGATTGTAATGGAACTTCCGCTAGAGTCTCTGTAACTTTAATATCCGGCGGATAACATCGAGTTTTAGCATCCAAAACTTTATGATACGAAGGATAAACTCTAGCGTTGTTCTGTAATTCTCTTTTGCGAATCAACCGATAGGTTTTTCTAGTCATTTTACCTTCTACAAGATCGGAAAGTGCAAGATCGCCAGAAATTTCTTTACACAGAGGAAGATCGGCAGCTCTGTAAGCTGTCTTATACTTAGTAGCATGAGATGGAGATAAAGTTGTGACGTCCTTGACAATAGAGGCAGCATCGGCGGCTCCAGATGAACGAAAACTCATACTCGTTGCAAAAGCCAATTCCGCTGTGCTGTGCGTTTTGAGTAACTGGTTTGACCTCCGCCTTTTTGATCGATCGGATAACATCTCGAAATCTGTGATAGGTCGACCTCTGGGTTTCGAACTTGTAGAAGGTTCATCATCTTTGCTCGTACATGCTTCCGAAACTTTTAATTCCTCGGGACCCGGACAACAGTACTTAAAAATAAATTAATCAAAATCTTTACTTGTATTCTTTATAATTTTTTTATTGACCATTAAGTTATTTCAATTTTAAAATACAATTTCATTTATTATTGTTACCAGTTGTATTGTTCCCTTAAGCCATTCACTATTCTTATTATAAAAGCGTGAGACTGTTCGGTTGCACTCGATCCACTTAGTTTTTAAAGTGTGGAAGAGGTTTTTCAGTGCCATCTTGTCGTCTGCGTGACATTGAAATGGTCTCTTTGTTTTCAGTGATATATAATTTTCTAATTCTTTTACTTTTTTGCCATATTCTGATAGAAGCTGCATGCGAATGGCATCAAATATTTCTTGTCGGGTGCATGAGACACAACTGGAATTTGCTGTTATAAAATAATAATAAAATTAATAATAAACCTGTAATATTAATTAAGTATACAAATTTTGAACCAAACATAGATTATTTCAATTTCAAATCGAGTTAAATGAAACCATATCGTTTTTTTAATTGAGATAAAAATAACGGAAATTGGTGTAAAAAACGAAGGGGTACCTCGGGGTAAGTAAATCTTTTCAACAATTAATCTTCATACCCTAAATTTTGTTAAAAAATAAGGCGGACCATCCAACTCGATCAAACTCTCAACTATTTTTTATAAACAAATAAATAAACAACGCAATATTTCTCTTCAATATTTACACCCCTTAAAAATTTAAATAACGATTAACCACGTATGGATGATGATTACTTACTTTCAATTTCACCTTCCATCACACTGGATTGTAAAAAAACACGTTTAAACAAAAGTTACAAACAAACCACGAGAACATGCGAGCGAGACCAGTGGCCAGCTGACTCAGTTTGACCTGCTCTCATACGTTATGCAGACGGCATAACTGACTGTCGGTCTGCACCGAGGTGCAGTGGTGTCCCCTATATGGGATTACGGGGTACTAAGGTCAAAATTCCGAACTTCACTTTTTTTATTTTTGTCCGCGTTTTTCTGGAATTGGGCCACTGTGAGACGTGAATTTATTAGTTGCGAATATATTAACTGTTCGAACTATTTAATTACTATCTAATTTTATGATTAAAGTAGTATCGCTTATATCTAACAAAGGTAGTAGCTATTGCGTGCCATGAATGATGAATAAGTTGCACACAGGTAACGATTTGCGCGCGATTTATATGGCGCCAAGAGTACGTACCCGGAGGCTGTCAAGGCACAACATTGTCATTTCGATCCGTCTGCGTGGCGAAGCGATAGCGATTTAACGTACATACGTATGTTTATAGCGGAAGCTTAGGCGTTCGAGTGATTTGCATGCACTCTGATACTCGTGAAAGGATTTATCAAGTCATACCTGTGATTTATTTCATTGGCACTGAAGGGCGCTCTTAAAACCTCAGCATATATCCTAAGTAGCAACATTTCTTACTTCATTTATTATACTTCATTTGCTTCGATATTGTCGAGCAAGACATTTTTCGTTATTACAATATCATAACAATAATAACATGCATTCTTGTAAAACAGTCAAGAATATATTATTATTTATTTCACTTTATCATGAGAAAAAAAAGAAGAAAATATAGAGAAGCAATATTTCCAATATAAGAAATAAACAATTATTTGCTTATAATAAATTCAATTTTAAACTAAATTTGAAATAAGATAGTTTAAAATTTTGTAGAAAAACAGACGGAAAGCACATTAAAAGGCTTAATTTCACATTTGGAATCTTACTTTTACGATCAAAAAATAATAGCGAGTAAACACATAAATTTTGCATAAATGCTTCGGTACCGTGTACGTCTAATTTTTATCGATTGGAGCCAGCATGGCTTTACACATTTCTACTAGTTATCGGAAATTGGTATCGCGAGCATCGATACGGTTTAAAAACATCGGCGGCAATCGCATGTGCTTGTTATTGCGAGGGACATCTTCGTCTTTGAAAAGAGTCCGCAAAGGATATGTGTAAGAGAGGAAATCCTATATCTCATTTCGATTTATCTACTTTGTTCGGCAAATACTTGGGTACTTGTGCCGAGGAGCGCGTCCAAGGTATCGCGCCGGGGCGTAGGTGCACAGGTGCAACGCGCACGAGTACACGCACGCCGAGGACTCGCAATTTATTTCGACGCACGCGAACGGGTAACACACGCGCTCTTGTTCGTAGATATCATTTATGATTATGGATCGCCGCCGTTTATAAGTTTGGTGGTACCTTGACCGACTACAAGCACCGCCTGTCGCGGCAGTGAGTATATCATCAACAGTTTTACAACAGCGGTGGTTATTAATAGCTGTCCCCCCACCCCCCGTGCACAGGGGTTGCACGTGCATTATTAATTCCAGGCGGCTCCCCGAGTACCTTACTCGGAAGGGTTTCCGGATCGACCAGGTATCCTAGGTATATCGATTTTAATCAAGCTCGTATTATTAACGGGGAATTTTTCGACGGAATTGTGCATGGCACAAACAAGAGTCTCCGTCGTTGGATTGGATTACACCTCCGCGAACAGATGATTGACTTTTCATTATAACGTCCGAGGATGCGCGTGTTGTGCATTAGCTTGAAATTATTACCTATCCGCCGCGAAGACTAAACATTGAACGATCATATCCGCCGAATGACGTGCGGGCGCGCCGATATCTGATTCTCGATTATCAGACCGTCGGATCGTGGCGATATAGCAAAGAGAAGTTTTTCATAACCGAAACCCCAATCGCTGTCGCGGATGTCTAGTCATTACGGCAAATCAAACCAATTAATCTTGACGTAGCATCTTTATCTTATCGAACATTTCTAACTTTATGCACCCCGATATTATCGCGCGTGTCAAATTTAGAGAGAGATAATTGCGAAGTTGATTTACTTATTTGCGATTTACTTATCTAATTTATTGATGCAATAGCATTTTTTAATTATACCAATTGTATTAATAACATCACATCTTGATATCAAGTGCGAATTGCAAAGCATCAGAATCGTTGTAAAAATTAATAGTTCAACCGAGTATCAATTACCTTCCCCTTTCAGGCAGCCGCCAAAACTGTCGTAGTACGAGCGAATTAAAAAAAAAAGAGCCTGATCGCTGTTGCGACGCGGGACGTAGGAGTGGTAGGACTTTAGTAAACGAAAGAGAAAAAGTCGAGGGCAGAAGTGGTGGAGAAAGAAGAAGAATACGACGCGAATGGCGCGCGAGGAGGATGCGGGAACGGGGAGAAAGGAAGGGACGATGTGCGTGCATGCCGCTCACGTAGCGTGCCAGCCAGCCTGGCAGCCTGGTGGACTCCCTTCGGTCTCTTCCTCTTCTCTCGCAAGTAAAAGTGAGGCCCCATCTCTCCCTTTTTCTCTCTCCGTCTCTCAGTCTCTCTCTCTTTCTCCCGCTCTCTATCCCTCGCCTTTTTTCCTCTCTTTCTGAGGAAGAGCAGCGCTACGAGAGAGAGGAAGGGTATCTTCCTTTTTATCAAACTGCAGCCTCTTACCTGGAGCACTCCCACCCACGGCCCACCTGCGGCTGGATGGGTATTACAACAGGTGAGCGACTACCGAGAACGCTCGCCGCGACCTTAAAGCCGTATCGCGCAACGAGATTTTCCTGCGTGACGTCCGAGGGATTGACAGACTAGTGAGTGACCAATTAAGGAACGTTGTCGAATAGTCCCGCTTCTTTGCTAAATAAAGATGCGTCAATTACTTTCGTCCCTTACCGCCAATGTGTGTGGTACTTATGTTCATCTCAAAGGCTCATAAAAAGAACCTCGATATTTTTGTATAAAAAGAAATGACGGAATACTTTTTTTCCGTGATTGTCTCACGTTTCATCGTTGTTGAAGTATTTACGCTGCATTTATGCAAAAAAAAAAAAACGCTTTGACATTGATGATCGACAATCTCGGCATACAGAACGAAAATACTGCTCAGAATAACTTGTTCTTTATCGCAAATTACCATAATTCGAGTAATATAATGTTGCAAGAACTAAGGACACGTATAACTTATTTCGTGGTCGTCATACGAAGACGCCTGCCCAAGTGCCGAACGATATAAAGATTATTTCGCAACTACACTGAAATGTGTGTGTGTGTGAATGATCGGGCTCGTCAAAATTATAACGGTTCCAGCTATACGGTGTATAACGCACGTGGTTTTCACCGGCGATGTGTTCGCAGAGAGAACGACCTGATAATCTCCGCAGTTATGACGTATCAGAAATTAAATTGCGATGAATTCTAATTCCTGATATCTCGAATTTCTTAATATCCATTATCAAAGGGAATTCTGTTCGCAATTAACTGGCAAAGTCCCGAAGTAAACTGAACCGGTACACCTTAGATAATTTGCCAAGATACTAGCGATCTCGTTACCCTATCGCACTACCGCGATAGTAATAATAATAAATTAGTTTCTAATTAGTATTTTTATCACAATAATTGTGTAATACTCTCGATGGTATCGGCCTTCTTTCACGAAGTCGGTCGAACATTTTTCCTGTATACAAAACGTTTATTCAAAATGTATATTATACGCAGTATTCTCCGATAAGATTCCCGACATGCGGCGCATATAGAAAATTAAATTGTAACAGAACGCATTTCAAATTAAACTTGCGATTTTATTAATCGTTATTAAAGTGTCCCTCTATGGATTCCCAAGTTCTTCCTCCTTTCTTCCTACATTCTCTTTCTTTCTTGTGGCATAATCATTAATTACATATTTACACGCAACAAGAAAAGTGACATAATTCTTATGTGTGATCCAAATTTTTTGTATATATTCTCATCCTCATTCAAATTTGCTGTCAGTCTTTATATCTTCTTTGGGAACGAACATCTTTGTCTTTCGTGTTGCCCTCGCATGAATTTCGGGACCGTTTATGACACAACACAGAGATCTGTCAATACGTTTGATGTATAAATAATGATTATATGCAAGCGAACGGGAACGTCTTTCATTGAAGTTATCGAATTGGACGATTCCTTCGTAGAACGCGGGTTTTACGGAGCGTTTTTTATTGCGTGCGACCGAGTGCGTGCGTGCGTGCACGCTCGCGTGCATGCGTGCGTGAGCGAAATACCGAAAAGTTCGGACTATCTTCTTCTCTTCCTCCATCCCACCACCTTCTCCCATGCCTCGTCTTTTTCGCCCTCTTTTTCTTCCTCTCGCGAGCCGTTCGCCGGAAGCGAAAGAAGCTCGAGTCCTGCTGCGATTAACCTTTTCAGGGGATGAATTATCTCGCTCGTCAGGCTCCAGTCTCGGCCTCGCGATATTGCGATTTCGCGATTCGTCGAAGGAACACCCGCTGGGAGTACGCGCTAGGAGTCGACGACAGAGGAATTGTCGCATTATCCAGCTGTAAGGAACGTTGGCAACGACAGTCTACTCTCAAACAGCTTTTAACTCGAGAACTGAAACTCGCGTAATTTCAATAAATTTCAATAAATATAAAAAAATATTCTACATATCTAAGTTGTAACAATTACTGTAATTACATTACAATTAACGTTGCGTTAATGACAGTAAGCGTTTCTTAAACGTTTTTTAATAGCAATCTCGAATCCAAAGATCCATTTGTTATAAAATGTATGTACGTTTTTATTCTTATCTTGGGTTGGCAATTTAGTTAAATTATCTACAACGGAACATCGGAAAATATACTTAATTAATTAGAACATACCTATAGATACTTCATTAGGACAAGTCTTAACTATAAGAACGATTCTCTCTTGCAGTGACATGTACTGTGTAATAATCAATACAGATACTTAGCACGAATTAATTGAGAATGAGTGGACATTAATTGAAAGAGAAAAAGATGAAGCACGTACAAGTTTCCTTAAGCAGACAAGCGTGTGACTACGACTTAAGGATCGTGTAGGCAACATAGCCAACTATACGAACAAGAATCAAAAAGAAAAAAATTAGTTGAGAACTGGAAAATTAAATAAAA